TCTGGACAATGATTTCTCTAGGACAGAGCTTCAAAACTGAAAATAGAAGACAAGTGCAAAGCTCAGTAATTGTGTACATTGTGATGAATCTGAGGATGTCTTTCAGAAAGCAAAACAGAAAGTAGGAGACAGAGGGGAAAAAAAGAGGTGATTCTAAGGTCTTTAACACTAAAACAATATATAATGTGAGCCGTGGGGTCAGATATGGAGGGGAGAAGGAGGGAGGAAGGGAAGGAGGGATGGCAGATGTGGAGAGGGAGGGTCACAAGTTCAAGGTCAGTCTGAGCTGCATAGTGAGGACTTTGAAAAACTGAAAACAAAGACATAGGATATAATAACATAACAGTATAGAAGAAAAAGAATATAGAACCATTTACGTTTAAATTTACTTTTTATTCAACAAATGTGTTTTGTTCATGAGCTTTTTGCTAGCACTGTTATAAGTTGTGGAGGTACAGCAGAAAAGAATACACACATCCTTTTTGCCTTCATGCAATGTGTTAGAGAAAGGCTTAAATGGGATTCTACAGCTGCTTCCCTAGATATGTAACAACTAAACTACGCTGAACAGTAGACATGGGGCATATCTAACGTGATGTGACGTGAAAGGAATGGAATGCTTGCCTGAGTCAGCCATATGGCGCATGCCTATAGTCCCAGAGCTTGGGAGATGGAGGCAAGGGGATCAGGAATTTGAAGTCACCGTTCAGATTCTATACCCACACAGCAAGTTTTAAACCATTCTAGGATATCTAAGTCCCTGTGTTAGAACAAACAAACAAAAAATACAAAACAAAGGGGCGAAGTGCGTGAGGACTTAGTTTGATCCCTGGACCCCACTAAAAAGGCTATGTGAAGTGCACACTGTCACCCGGGGGTTGGGGAGACAGAGACAGGAGGATCCCAGGGGTTTGCTGGCCAGCCAGTGGAGTAAAAGTGGTGAGCTTGTGGTGTGGTGACAGACCTTATCTCAGAAACTAAAGTGGGGATCAGTTGAATAAGACAGACAATATTATTAACCCTGGACCCCCACTTTCATGTGTACACGTTTGCACATACATCTGGTCACATACCTGCACCCACCTATACACACACAGAAAGGGAAGTCATAAACTTAAATAATAAGTGTGCCAGGATATTTAAATTATAAACGTGTTTTTCCTCAGGAAAAGTGTTTAATTTTGGATTCAGATAAAGGAAGAAGAAAGCATGGGAGTAGTAAAATTGTTCAAAAATTTATTTTACTCCACATATTTCATCTGGAAAAAGTTGCTTTCATTTTAAAATTTCTTTGTTGTTGTTTTGTTTTTAGACAAGGTCTCACTCAGCAGCCCAGGCCACCAGCCCTTGACCTGCTTGCACCTCAACCCTCCTAAGTGCTGGTATTAAAGACAGATACCTCCATGTCTGATTTTGAACTTAAATTAGGTGAAACCTTCTTTGTTTTAAAAACAGAGTCTCATGTATCCCAGGCTGGCCTCCAATTTGCTATGTAGTAACAATGTCCTTAACCTTCTGATCCTCTTGCCTCTGTGTCCTAGGTGCCGGGATTACAGGGAGGTGTCATTATTCCTAGTCTATGTGGTTCTGGGGTTAAATCAGGGCTTTATTCATGCTAGGAAGGCTTTCTACAAACTGAATTACATCCCATCTCTATTAACTGAAACCTCCTTATGTCCTCTACAACAGCAGACTAAAGTATATTTAAACTCAGGTTCGTAGAAACAGGCATATTTTTTTTTTCTTCAGAGAGAGAGAGAGAGGAGGTAGTTTTACCAGGACAGTAATAGAGAGGTTGCAGAGAGAAAACTCAGGTGAAGACTAAATGAACCAGGAGAGTGAGACAGGAGATTAGAACAGATTACTGGAGTTAGTTTGAGGCCAAACAGAGCAATTCAGAGGCTGAGATAGAAGCCAGATTAACTAAGTCAGCTGGGAGAGAAGTTTGAGACAGAATAGCTGAATTGAATGAGCCAGCACAGAGTTCAGTAAGAACAAGTAAGAGTGAGCTTATTAAGCAGTGAGTCTCAGAGGCTGAAAACATTCTAGGCCTACATTAGATCATATGGAGACTAGCAGCTTCCAGAAGTAGGCCTAGGGTAGCAGACAGGGGCAATAAGCCTCCGAGACAACAACTGAATCAGGAGAATAAAAGTTTCTTTTTACAGGTTTTCCCCTAGGCCTATGGCCTATCTAATCTCAGATTCTTGGCCGCTTTGACAGTGTCAGGTAAGGGTTCTAGTTCACGGGGTGGGCCTTAAATCTGGTTAGTTACTCCCATAACATTTGTGCCACTATTACACTTTTGGAGACTATAGCATTTTTAGCCAAGTGATATTGATGACTACCTTTCTCTTCCAGTGTTATTCAGAGAACCTTTCAGGACCATGAACAGGAGAGGTAAAGTTTCTAACTTGGAATCAGCTTGATTTTCCGTATTTGATGATATAAGTGAGTGTGGTCTTCAGCAGTAAGGCCTTACCATCACTCTTAATTGGGGCTGTTTTACATTTTCAGGGGTTTAGTGCATTAATGTCATGGCGGGAAACATGGCATAGTGCTGGCCGTCTTGGTGTTGGAGAAGCCAAGAGTTCTCCATCTTGCTCTGAAGGTAGCAGAATGGGACTGGATTTCACACTGGGCAAGGAACTTGAGCACAGGAGACCTCACAGCCAGCTCCCACAGTGACATACTTCCTCCAACAAGGCCACACCTACTCCAACTTGGCCACGCCTCCTAATAGTGCCACTCCTCCTAATAGTGCCACTCCCCATGGGCCAAACATTCAGACACATGAGTCCATGGGAGCCACACCTATTCAGACCACCACAGTAACCAATAGCCTTGTCAATAGCCTGTACTGTTTGTGAGAGTCCATGGGACCCCTTTTGGCCTCCAATTCTTGGCCTTCCTGCCTCTCCAGTGTTGTGGTTAAAGGTATATACCAGTGTGCCCAGATTTTTTTCTTTTGAGATTATAATCATTTCCTGTTTGTTTTACTCTCTCTAAACCCAAACGCTTCCATGTATTTCCCTCTCCCCTTATTTTCTTTCAAATTCCTAGTTTTAAAAACAATTGAAGGAAGAGCAAGAGTTAGTGGCCAACCTAGGCTAAATAGTGCATTCATGGGCAACCTGGGCTACCTAGCAAATCCCTATCTCAAGATAGATAGATCGATAGATAGCATCAAAGTGTCATCAGATCATGATCAGATTATACAGTATTTTTAAGGGTGGCATTTGGCTTTTTGAGTACTTTAAATATACAGAAGGGAAGCTGTATCTAATATAGTTTCCCGGATGGTCTCTTGGAACAGAAAGGACATTCAGAAAATGAATGAATCTAAATAAGGTATGACGTGCAGTTAGTGGCTGTCTACCAGTGCTGGCTCAGGAGTTGTGACAAATGTACCACAGAGTTCTGAGATGTGACAGTGGGGGAAGTTAGTTCAGAGGTAATGAGAACACCACATTACTTTTATAAGTTTCCTTTATATATACTTAAAAGTAGTCTAAAATACAGGTTTAAAATAAAAATAGTAGTAAAACAGATTTTCCTTAGTCTCAGACAAATCACGAGTTTAGCTAAGCCTACTGCTTGTGCTATGTGACCTTAAGTAAGCATCAGAGGTATTGGGTGTCAGTCTAATTATAGGAGGCATGACTTTCAGCCGCAGGGGAAAGATCGTGAAAGCTGAGGCTGTGTGTCTCAGTGTGTAAGACCACAAGCACGGAGCTGACGAACAGCGAAGTTTAGAGGAGGTGCTGGAGGACACAAGGAGCCTTGGGATTTCTTAGGAGAGTAACTGGGGTCATAAAAGCAGTGCTCCGGGTGTTTATTCGATTTTTCCACTCACCAAATACATTGAAATTGGGAAGAAATCTGAGACAGGCGCGTGAGGCTAACATCTCAGACTGAACCTCTGGAGTGAGTAAGCGGTGCTGCTCTCAGTGCTTTCTGCCTGGTTTAGGACCAGGTGAGCTGCCGAGCCTGCTGCAGAGAGGGAGGCATCTGGAAATCTTTGACACCATTAGCTGGCTGGATCTCAAAGTTACTTTCTATCTTCTTGTTTCAAGCCCAGCCTCCCTGTGTTGTAGGAGGAGGTTTAATCTCCTGCCCTAAACTCCTGGAATAACAACTCATGAGACTCAATTATTATTTTACAAATACCTAGGCCATATAGCTAGGCTCTTCTCTGACTAGCTCATAACTTAAAATAACCCGTTATTCTAATCTACATTCTGCCACGAAGCTGATTACCTGAGCTCGGACACCCTCTGAGGGTCTCACATCTTGCCGGCTGAATCCCATGTGCCTGGCTCTCTTCCAGAATCCCTTCTGCTGTTCTGAAGTCCCACCTATTTCCTGCCTCAGCCATAGGCCCTGGTTTTTTTTAATTGACAGGTGGTGCACTCATACAATTCAGATGAGGTTCCTTCTACATCCCTGCATATTGTGGTCAGGACTTAGCATTTCTGCTTGTCCTGAGTTAGCCCTGTACTTGCTCAAGAGTCAAGCCCAGCACACAATTCTTCGTTAGGTCTCTTTCACTGAGCTGTGCTAATGGATTTTAAGACTTCTCTCCCCCCAGCACTACGGATAGAACTCCATTTCTCGAATATGGTAGGCCAGCAATCTAACAGAATCACATGCCCAGTCCTAAATACCCCCAGAAATTATTTCAAACATCTAGGGAGAGGCTGTAAGAGTAAGAATGCTACACAAAACACCATGTTCCACATTGTCAGACTTCCTGTGCCTGCTTGAACCATTACTCCACCTGCAGGGTCGCTCTTTATTCTTCCTTATGTCTACCCTTACACACACCACAGCCTCACACAGACGACACGCACACACAAACCACAACCCATACATCCCCTACATACACCTCATACTCCATACACTCATACGTCACACACACCACAACACGTGCGCACTACAAAACACACAGACCACCACCACCACCGCATACATGTGTTTTCTGAATAACTTGTGCCTACCTCTAGGCCTTTCCATTCTCCATTCTTCAGTGTGTATTTCCTAAGGGTAAGGTCATGCCTCTCAGCACCGCAGTGGCCTTCTTCTTTTCAGCTGATTTGCGCATTCGCTGTCGGAGGGACTCCAGGGCAGCACGGCCACACTCGTGGTCTGGTCTGTCCCTCTGCTCACTGAATTACAGGCTTGAAAAAGCCGTATTTTTATTTGAGTTTCAGGCTTGACGTTCCCTCAATCTCTGCGCTATCTTTATCCCTGCGCATCTTGTAGGCAGGGTAAATTCGGGTTGAAGTTTTTGTGTTTCTGTCGTGTTAGGGTATCCAGGGCTTGCGGTAAGAGAACTGGATTCTGAGGGTAGCATATTGCCCTGGTTTTTGTTGGTTGTGTCCTTACACTGGCCGTTAGCCATCTGGCTGTTTCTGGCACCTGCTGGATTTCTCAGGGGTGTGGGATGAGCCTTGGACAGGAGGCTGGATATTCCTAGAGCAGCCCTCCTCCCTCCTCAGGATGGTGGGTGTGGTTGTGGACTGACTGCTGGATAGCAGGAAATAGCCCACAGTTCTCAGTTGGCTGTGTCCCAGATGGCCCCACAGGCAGGGGATTGGAGTGGGAGTGCCTAGCTTGTATGATCCTGAGAACCTGCAGGTTTTCTCAATAACCCAGGAGTCCTCCTCTCACTGGGGCAACTCCGAGAGTCAGCGGTCCTAGCACTGGCTCCCTCACTCCATGGTCTCTGCGCTCAATCTGCATGGACACTGTGCGATTGTCATTGCCATCTTAGAGGGAGATCCTGTAAACTCCTGATGTCTGGCCAGTTTCCTCAGGAAGACCGGTCCAGCTGTGGACTAGGGGCTGGGGCCATTTTCCTGGATCCCAGAAGTCAGGTGGCCAGAGGCTGGAACCCGGTTCCCTGGGACAGCTGGAGTAGCTCCGTGGCCAGAGGTTAGAACCGCTAACTCCCAGCACCTGTTGGCTCTCCTCTCACCTGGGAAGCACAGACATAGGTGTTTTGGGGTCTGCAGTACAGGTCTTTCACTCCCTCCGTTACTGAGGTCCTGCTACCCAGAAACCATGTGAGATACAAGGCGCCATCTTGGCTCCCTCTGCTAGTCAGTACTCTTAACCTCTGACCTAGCTCTTCAACCTCATTTAAAAAAGTTTTTAAAAAATAATTCTTTTTTATTTTATGTCCATTAGTGTTCTGCCTGCATGTATGTATATGCAAAGTTGTCAGATAACCTAAAACTGGAGCTACAGACAATTGTGAACGGCCATGTGGGCACTGGGAATTGAACACAGTCCTTTGGACAACAGCTATCTCCCCAGCCCCTATATTCTTGTGTTTAATCCTCACAATAGCAACATCTGTTTCTGTTGCTGTGATAAAATACCCTGACAAAAACAACCTAAGGGATATGCTGGGTGTTTTTTGGTTGGTTGGTTTTTGGCTCATAGTGCAGGGTCTAGGCCATTGTGATTGCTCACATTGTATCCGCAGACAGGAAGCAGAGAGGGGATGAATGATTCTGCGCAGCTAGCTTTCTCACTTTTATACAGTTGCAGGGCTCAGGAGGAAGGAGGGATGCCATCCGCTTTTAGTGTGGTCTCCCACTTGAATGAACTCACTCAGTGTGCTTCCTCACCGTATGAAGCATACCCGGGGTGAAATAATCCCTCCCAGGTGTGCCTGAAAATTGTTTCCCAGGTGATCTGAGAGCCTGTCACGCTGACAACTAACACAACAACTTTAACCTTGAAGGACCTTACCATGTCTTATTTTCCTTAGGGAAACACAGACACAGAGGTTAAGTAGCTCGCTCATAAACCACAGCTGATAAGGTGTACAATTAGAATTTGGACGCAGGCTGTTGCAGTCATTCATTTTATTTATTGTCTCCTATGTGATTATGTTTAGCCTCTTTAGTAGTTCATAACATCTAAAGATTATCCCACATTATTTGTCTTGGGTTATTGATTGCTTCTTCTTGTATTTCCTTCTCCAAGTAAAGAAACACTCATTTCCTTGATGTGTTTACTTTACAGCTCAGGAAAAGGTGACCTGTCTCTGGAGACGAGAACAGACTCAGAGGAGGCTGTTTACATGAGGATCTCCCACTCACCAGCTGTTGAGTACGTGAGAAAGACCGGATCTTATTACTTCAATGACAGCGATCGAGAAGGTTCTCCAACCACGAACAGACAAATGGATTTGCTGCAGTGGGAGCAGCTCATTAATGATTAATCAGAAGCATTGGATAGTAATCTGCCTTTCGGCTGCATCTTCAAACTTCATGTTGCTTTCTCTTTGGGCCTTGTAATGTTTAAGAGACAAGCCCTGCTTCTCATCTAGTGAGTGCCAGCCTGAAGTCAGGACTCACGGGGGAATTCTCTGCGTTCAGCCTGGCTTTGTCCTCTCTGGCTCTGCTATTTATAGCGTCTATACGGGCTAATAACTGCAACTACTAAGGGTCTGCCGCATGCTAAGCGTTAGGATGGCTGCCCTGCCTAATCCTGAATCCTCAAGAAGCCCTGTAGGTTTGTGTGCATTGTTGACGTTTTGACCATGAGGAAATGAGATGCGCTGAGAGATCATGTGTTGTGGGTAAGATCACTCTATTGATAAGATCAGGATTCCATCTCCGGAGTCCCTCCACCAGAACACTGTGCTTTGCTCATAATTGCTGCAGAGGTAACTACCATATAGACCCCTATGGATATCACTCCCAGTTTTAAATTGGGATGGGGAAGGGGGTGCATGTGCATGAGAAATGGCTTGGGCGAGCATTTTAGAAGCACAGAAGAATCACAGAATTATTTTCTAAGCAAAATAACACTGTTTGTCTATGGCCCGTGGCTCCAATCTGCCTGTCTCCACCTATTTTTGTAAATAAAGTTTTATGGGAACACAACCACATCCTTTATATATTGTCTGTGACTCCTTTCTGAAATGGCAGAGTGGCGTAAGTTTATCAAAGACACTATTTATTCTCAGTGCCTAAAGTGTTGATGATATGACCCTCGAAGGAAAGTTTGCGACCCCTGGTTTAGAAGACTTTGGAAGGAAGCCCACAGTTTTCTTTAAGACTTTATTACATTTTTATTACATCTTTATTACATTTTCCTTTGACAAGTTAAAGCTTGATAATGGTGACGTAATCACTGTGTTCTAATGACGCTATACAGTAGTTCTGGGCAGGGATTGTTGGGCTGTACTGATACAACTAGTGAAAGATAGTCAGGGGTCAGGAGGGTGAGAACTCGGTCTCTGGAACCCCAGGGGACTCCTCACCACAGAATCCTCCCAGTCGTGTCCTTCCTAGTCCTCTTGCCAAAGTTGGTCCTAAAATAAGTGTTCACAGTCTCACAAGTGGCTTCCAACACACAGCATACTCCAGTCCCAACACCCTGAGTTCAGAAAGCAAGACAATCCGATCTCTAGTAATCTCTCCTCCCATCTGCTTTTGTTCTTAAGCCATGAGGAAACTATGCTGAATTTGAATGCACATTTCAAAGCTAACTTATTTAGCTTTGATTCATGTTCATGAAAGCAGAAAAGAAGATGCATAATACTTGTAGGTATTGCTCTTAGTCTGTTCAGGCAGCCTTAGTCACATATCATAGGCTGTGCAGAGCACAACCAACGGAAACAGTTTTCCCAGTTTGTAACACTAGGAAATGCAAGCGCAGGGAGCTGGCAGTCGCTTCAGCGTCTGGTTGAGACTGTTTTCTGGTTCATAGACCGCCATCTTCTCACATACCCTCACATGTTAGAAAGAACAAAGGGTCTGTCTGGGTCCTCTTCCTTCTCTTTTTTCTTCTTCCTTCCTTTCTTTCCTCCTTTCTTTCTTTCTCTCGCTCTTCTTTCTTCCTTCCTTCCTTCTTTCCTTCCTTCCTTCCTTCCTTTCTTTTTTCAATCTCACTTATGAAAGCTCCTGCCTTCATGACCTAGTCACAGACCAAATGCACCAACTCCTAATATCATCATTTTGGGGAGTAGGATTTTTAACAAATTACTGAGGCAGAACATAAGTATTCAGCCCATAACAGTGTTGTATTTCCTAATAGGGTTGGCTGTCATATACAATACTGCTTTTCCTGAGCCAAAAGAAACAGATGTATTAATTACTTTTCTATAGGTGTTATTTAATTGATTTAGGAAAATCCAGCTATTTAAAAAATATGTTGCGTATGCTTTCTTTCTCATTGTTTAGGTATTCTTTTTTACAGAGAAGCTTTCATGGCTGAAGAATATTCCACCTTCTGCACATTCTAAAGTTTTCCTAACCCTTCTCCAATGTTGAAGCATTAAAGATTCTCTTTTTAGTCCCTGGTTCATGTCCTATATCTCTTTCTTGGCATTGTTTTTTCACTATTTCCTACTCTGCTTAGGCTGTGTCCTTGGCATAGTCAGGATCCTATTTTCCCTTCCTGTCTGCTGGTAGGTCATGGTGTAGCCCATTCAATGGAGTGTGATGCACTATATTTTCAAGTCAAAAATTATTATTCCCTGCCATATCCCACCTTCCAAGCCTCTCTCATTCTTTCCCATTCAATTGTTCTGTCATGGAAAAGTATGCATCAACCTTCAGAGTGAGAAGGACATGTCAGGAGTGTTGTTTTTCCAACAAGGCTGCATCCTTCTAACCTGATATCCTTCTAACCTGATAGCTGCAGCCCTGCAGTAGCAAAGGACTCACAGACTCCGGGGTTGTACTTAGGAAAACGGCTTATTTTAGGATACAATCATATGCAAGTAATGAGCATTACGAATTTCCTATGCAGTAAGCATTATTCTAAACACTTTACCTATCAAGGAGATGCTGGTAATACATTCATTCTACAAATGAGAAAATGGTGGTATAAAGAGGATGAGAAATTATTCTGGCCACGCAGCTAGTGCTTGCAAGCTGGGATTTGTTTGCAGTAGTAGGACAGTGGAGTTCGGTTGATTAACCTACATGCACAATCGGTTGTGTACTGTAGCACTTTTAAGTCCCTAGGCTTTACCTGGCTCGTGTCATTTCAGAGTATCTGCAGCGGGAAAAGGGAACATAGCAATGCTGTTACTGACAGCAGTGAGCCTTTCCTTTGTGCTGGGGAGAACTGGCTGGGGACCAGCATCCTGAGGGTATTTCCTTTCATGAAGAGATGGATGGGAAGGTAATTCACTTTGTTCAAAGTCATTCTCTGAACATGAGTCAAGAAGCCTGTCTAGGGCCTGGGCAGGGCACACTGGAAACAGTTGTGCCTTCCAGGCTTTATCTCCAGGACCTAATCTGAAGTAGGCCAGTGCACATGGAGGAAGCACTGTGACACAGAAACATCTAAATAGAGCTTTTAAGATAGTAAT